ATGCTCCCATGCATACAAGTACAACCATATGCAGTGTGTGGGTGTGGGTGTGACCGGGTAGTCGAAATAGCTTGGAGTGCACGGAGAGCGTATCAAATCATGCAATTTAATCAATTTAGAAACGTATGGCAACAAAAGCAGAGGGCACTAATAAAAGCTGTATTGCACTTGTAGTGGTAATAAAAGTTCTTGCAATCAGTTGGTTACAATTTCGCTTACGTGTGGCATGCAACATGCGTTCCGTAGTTGCTCCATTTACAACAACAGCTGGCATACAGTCTGATCACCTTGAAGAAGCGCCGCTTTTTCCTTTTTGTTTATATTTTTTACCTACAGCTGACAACCGCTGTTGTTCCGCCGCCTTGCAGGAGGTTTAGCGCGTCCGCTTGCAGCAGCAGTTTTGTGTAAATCTAAATGCACAACAGCGCCTTCAATTCTCGGCAGCAACGCTGTGTTGCACGCCATGAAATGGAACCGAGCGAATGAAAGCTTAGCGGATTAAAATGTTTACGTGAATTTGCAGCAGCGCTTTGACATCACATGTAGGACAGCGGACAATCCACTGCCGTCACGCCGGCATGCCGCGCTATTACCATGCTTCGTACTGCTGACAGTGCGAGCATATTTCGTTATTTTCTCAATTCGGGTGGCTGGTGGCTTTATCTATTTCCAATTGAAATCACACCATTCAGAGGCAATAAAGCACGGTGGAAGAAAAACTGTGCAAGTAATGGGTCAGCACGTTCGGCATAGTAGTGAAATAGTGGTTAAGTAAGAAGAGTTAGGTAAGAAGCATTGTAGTGAAGGTGAAATATAAAGTAAATGCAATAGCAAAATAAAAAAAAACGAAATCACTTGTGGTATTTCGATCGGATTTCGATTGCTTAATTGCAATTTAATTTACTGATTGCGAGCGAAATTGGCAATTATTTCTTAATATACGAGTATCTCGAGCACGGCAGCTGCCATTTCTGCAATTCCTTTCCACGTGTATGTGCCCACGTGATTGGCTCTCGCCTTTGAGTCAAAGTTGAAGTACCACTATTGGTAACCGTTACGAACTCCTACCAACTGCGCTAAACGAGTACGTCCACGTACACATACATACACACATTGTGTTGAAGTACAGCAGCCTGCCCAACCGTAGCAACAAACAGCAAAGTAATAGCCTCCCATCTATACTTCCGACAATGTTCCGTTTAGAGCGTGTGTGAGAGTACGAGTGCAAATGAACAAGTGAAAATAGCATCAGCTAATGAAAAGCATTACTCTGTTTTAATCTGCACAACTGTCATCCTCGACTGCTCCCTATAAGTCCTTAGTGTCACAGCCACAGCAGCGACTAAATGTCAAGCAATTGAACGTGCTCTGTAAATAAGTGAGCAGCTCGAACATGTGTATGTTTGGGTATGAGATTGCCACATAGAAGCTAATGGAGGCAAGTTTTGTGTGATTCTTACTCTATTTGTAACTTAGTTTTATAAAATTTTCTTTTACATTTAATTAAATAAAACTATGAGCCAAAGTTCGTGGATAACTTCGTTGTACTTGTATATAAAAAAAATTGAAAACTCTAAAATTGAAGAACTGAAATTCGAACGAATTCCACCAAACTGCAGTTAAATCAGTATTTCTAAATTAAAGTCAGCAAATAAACCAATTTTTCATACAAAATCTGCTTGAATATTTCGAGCATTCAATTCAGCATTCAATTTGTGCAAGCGCACTTAGTAGTTAGTGGCTGCATTTAAATAAATAAATTTTACACCAGTAAATAAATATATTATGATAGCGAACCGCAAACTCACACCGTCATTAACTATTGCACACACATGCACACATATGCACATTTACCTCGCTCTTTACCGCCAAACTACTACAGACATTGCCCCGGGCAGCGGCCCAACCACATGCACGGCTTAAAATACTTATTTGGCTAATAAGCCGTAACAACAAAGAAAGTATAAGTTGCATAATTTACGACTTGTTGTTGGCGCAGCAGACAAACTCATACACACACAAATGAGTGTGTCGGTTGTTTGAGAGGAGCTGCAATCAAGCACCGCGTTGACTAGAACAAAACAATAAATATGTTGTGTGTGCTTTGTTGTATGTTTTAGTGTATGGTTGTTTTTGTTGTCCTTTTTTGAAAACTTTCTCTAATAATTGATATTTATTTGCACCCAAGGGAACGCCATATGTAACCAAACAGAACACAAAATAAGCCAAGGAAGGCACGCATAGCCGCTAGTGGGAAACGAAAGTGTCGAAAAGAGATTCAATCTATTTGAACTTTTTTTAATTAAATGAGCACACGAATGTTTCATATCATAAAATAAGTATTTTAGAACACTATTTTAATTTGTTTTGTAAACTAACTTAATTGAAGTGATGTGAACGTTTTAAAAGTTCCTTTTTACGTACCACAAAACTGAGGAAAAATTTTTCCACAAAGCTACTTAAAGTTCACGTATGAAAATTAATATATATTCTGTAATTAATTTATTAACTAACTTAATTTAACTTGATTTAATTTTAATCAATTTGGCACTTTATACAATGTCTGGCATAGATTAATCGCTCATTGGTAATTTAGGTACAGTTTATTCTCAAAGCGCTATACTACATTGCGCTCTGCCGCTTTAACGCTAATACACCCCTCTCACATTTGCCGTGCCACATTCTCAATGCTTGTCATTGTTTCGCTACTAAATAGACCCATGGGCCTGCTCAGCCTAGTCGAACGAACTGACCCGCCAGAGGAGTGTTGTCTAATGTCTGTATGTGTTTCCCTTCATAAGTATATGCATATATATATATATATATATATCAACAATACTTGAATGTGTGTCCTTACTTATACCTAAATTTCTGTAATCAGAAAATCGTGTGTTTTATTCTTTCCAGACTGTGTGTTATGGTCGTTGAGCTCTTGTTTTAGTGTAATCGTCTACACCCACAATGTGGTAAAATAATATTATACCCGGTAATCCTTCCGCTCTCGTTGCGGCCGATGCCGGTAGTTGGATACGTGCAGCAAGGCAATGAGGAATGTATGTTGGTGTACTCGTATGTGGCATGTGGCCTGAGGCATATGTTTTTACGCACAACACTTGCTGCCAACTCGAGATATTTTCTCTTTACAATTCCTTGGCTTTCTCGGCCCGTTGGCTACTGGCTACCCGCTTTGGCACTTAGCTGAAGCCTTTGTTCTAGCTCGCTCACTTTTGCACAATACAAGCTTAATATTACATTTTGCTTTTTGTCTGCACTTAAAACATCGATTTAATTAATTTGCTCATAAATTGTGCGGAGGCTATTGTTTTCGGCACATTAAACAAATGAGAAAAATACCGAAAGGGGCACGAAGTGTCGACAACCACATACAATATGTATGTGTGCGTGTTATTTTTCTTAGAAACCCCTGCTGTCCTTCTGCTCCACTGCTGAACTGCCGCTATGGCCTTTCATGGAAAAAGTTCCAAAAGTGGCGCAGACATCGTAGCCGGAACTAGACTGCTGCAAAAATTTCTCCTCCTAGCCGGATGTGAATTAGCGCTTACGTATAATTTATAAAGCTCTAAATACAATGTAATCAACATGCCGCAAATTACCATTAAGCCTTTTTACTCCACACAAAGGCTCAAATAAATAGATATGTGCGTGTGTAGATTTGTGTACATTTGCCCGCTCGCCTGGAGCTTTACTTTGATTGTGATTAAGTTGAAAAGTTCGCGCAGACTTTTTCCTCTGCCTCTTAGCAATGTTAAATGTGTTGAAATTCTTCGCTCACTAGCGAACATTTTTAATGTTTTACACTTTTTCTTTAATTTTTCTGCAAAAGTTTATTAAAAAAGTTCAATGCTGTCACCCGAAAATAATATCTTAAATCGCGCGCTTGTTAAAAATAAAAGATTATATTATATTTATTTCGTAGTTTAAACTGCAAGCAAAAAAGTGTCTCTCAACCATCTTGTAAGCGCGCTCTCTGCAACGTGTGTATAATGGCCGGGACATTGGCGAACATTTTAAAACCGATATATGTTGCCTTTTATTGTACATATGTATAATTTTATATTATATAAAAGATATATACACAGATTCCTCCGCTCATGGTTTTCTTTACATCACTTTTATAATGATTTTCGTTGTTTTGTTGTTGTGCAGCTTGAAGACTATGCACTAGATTTACCAAGCTGAAAGTGCCCGCGGGTCATGTGCATAAGATATTCATATAAGTTATCGGAAATCTTTAAAATTAAAATTTAATAATTCCTAATATTGCTAGCTTCTCGTTCACGCGAAGAGAAGTTGAATCTGCTGTCATATGGATCACATTTAAGACTCCAACAGCCTACACACAATTATAATAAGCGATCTAGGATATCCTATGTTTGCAGTTTGAATATGAAGGTTGTGATGCCAACTGATGTTTCCAGTGTTTAAGGTTTTTAAGTAAGACATAGCTTTATGGAAGTAAACCCCCATTTTGTAGACTTTTTCGTTTAACTATCGATAACAATATAATACCATCATATAAAATTTGCATTATTTCCTAAATTGGTACAATCTTTTATTATAGCGTGAAATTTGATCTCCATTTGTCAATTTACGGCGCAAAAAGTTTGTCTGGCGATTTTTAACATAGACAAAAAGTTAAACAACGAGTTTGCTTGACATTATTTTGTATCCATGAAATCACGTCTACGGAGTTGTTGAACAGGTCACGAAGTCATCGAAAACTCTTCGCTTAAAATCGTTTATGTCTAAACTGTCTACCAATCTACCGAATGGCGCTTCAAAATTCTGCCGAGCCGAGCCGAGTGTATGAAAAAGCGTTGGCTCAGCAGCGGATTTTGAAGTCGTTAATAAAATGTTGTATAACAATAAAATACGTGGAAATGAAGTTTTTGTTTATCAGTCTGGGTCAAATTTGACACATATAGCCACGATACTTCTGTCACCCTTCCCTTTTACATTAAGTGGACAGTTTTACTTACCGCCTCGCACTTCACATGTCAACACAATGTTGTCGCCCTCCAGCAATGGGCCCACAGCACCGGCGACATCACGTCCAGAGGCATCGTAAACCAGAATTTGATGTGGAGGAACTGCAGCGAAAGAAAAGCGAAAAGAGAGTAATGAAAACACGATGGGTACATATGTATAATTAAAGAGCGATTTTAATCACATCAGAAGGAGGTGTGGGGCAGTTATATGTTCATGTATATTATTTCAGAAATGTGTGGCACAGCATAAGTACACACATATACAATACATACACATAAGAAGAGGTGAATGTCAACGCAATTAATGCGTGGTGTCTGAAATTACATATTTACGTGTTTGGCTGACTTAGGCTCTGTATGTATACGTACCAATAACCGTTAAATTAATTCTATGATTGCGCGTGGGCGAGTTCTGAAAGTCGACGCGACATCTGTATACCTGTGGGACAGAAATGAATTGGGTTGACTTAATAATGTAAGTGGACATTTGAGTCTCCAAATAAAATATAATATGTTTCATTATAAATTAAATTAGAAAATTATAAAGAAAACTACTTTTTGCGCTTGTATGGTTTTCCCATATACAATTAAATTGTGAAACACTTTAACAAATGGTATTGCAGTAAATCATGATTAACGAAAATATTAAAGGACCCTATAGCGATTTAATATAATATTTGTGTGCTGAATCATTGGTTTTTTATTTACTTACGCCTTCATCGTCCAACTGAATATTCTCGACCGTCAATTTTGCAGGTTGCTGATTTGTAATGAAGTAAGCCCGAGGTCCAAACGAGTTGGTGTCCGACCAGTACAACGCCTTTTCAAACGCTCTCCCCCGTACATCGAAACTAGAAAGTTATAATAACATATATGTACATAATGAATCGTATGTATACGTTAGAAGAATTAGATTTAAGTCAATAAAAGTAGAATCAATTTAGTTAATTTCATTTTCGCTTTTCATTATTCGCTTTTGGGTTTAAAACTTCTAAAGTAAAGATAAATTTATGGTAGTATAGTACTTTATCCTCCGGCTGAAAATTTGTTTAATATGAATCGTACTAATATTCATGAGACGTATTTTTATTTTATTTTTTTAATTTCAGCTGAAAGAAACTTTAACTGTACAAATATGTGCGTGAAGGACATTTAAACGAAAAGATATTATACTTCAAAAATATTTTCTCAAACGCAATATGCTTTTCCATAACATTAATGCTATCAATCATTTATCTTCGCCAGCAACGACGCCTATTTTTTCCGCCCATATTTTTGCTTTAACCACTGTTGCATGAATAATGAAAATATGCCTCTCACATTTACCGATTTAATAATGTTGTTTGCAACAACTCTGAATTCATTGTCCAACCAATATGGTTACCTAAATTGTCGCCGTATGATGATGAACATTGTCCGCGGTAGCGATACATAAATTTGTATCCTCCGAAATGCGCTGAGATTACGTTGTTTCGAACACGTCGTTCTAATTCGATGTGTTATTTGAGAGTTCTTCAAGCAACGCAATGTCTTTACATTTTTGATTGATTCGAGTACAGCTTGTCATTTGGTGTTGTTCTGTGATTACAATGTGTTCAATAAAATAGCAGAGATGCAGGCATGTTTTGTTTCCTTTCCGAGCTAGAGGCATATCTAATATTTAGAGAGAAGAATAACATACTCCTCCTCCTTAAATCGTTAAAATAAAAATTTTATTTCCCTTGCGCATTTAAACAGAGTTTAAGTAGCCTTCTTTGTCAAATTCTTAAATTGTACATAGCGGAAATATGGCCATTATTGTATAGATGTTTTAAAATAAAAGTTACACGCTTTTTATGAGGCCTGTCATAGGTCTAGCCCGGCCAAAATTAGGCATCACCATACGAGGTGTGTTCATAAAATAACGAGAATTTTAAAACTAAAGGTAGTGAATTCTTGTCCAAAAACAATACTGTAACGATGAACCAGCCTCTATATTCGCCAGACATGTCTCCAAGAACTTTTTCCAATTTCCAAAAATAAAGAGAACCGTGAACAGTCGTCATTTTACAAGCATAGGCGACATTAAAAGCGCATTACCAAAAATCGAGTTCGAGAAATGTTTCGACGATTAAAAGAACGGCTGAAAAAGGGTCAAACATAATCCTCAGTACTTGATATACTCTTCCAGGGCTAATTATGAAGCTTAGAATAATATAAGTAGCCTAATCGAGGCGCATAGCAACAAAAGATTAAACGGTAGCATGCATTACGCAGCAGAGCGTAGTGGGTACGAAAATGAAGGCACTGCACTGATAACCAGGCAGCTGCATGCAATGGAAATAATTTGTAAACGATATTACTCACTTAACATTTACCATAAGAATGTTTTTGTTGGTGCTGGGTAATAGCAGCCAGTATCCGGTAAGTAAGCGCCCCACAAAAAAGCAAAAACACGAGCGAAAAGTTGAAAGACAGAATTTATCGGAGAACAGCAAGCATTTGTAGAAAATATTTTCTTTGAAATTTTTCGAGTTTCTCGCCATTTTTAGCACCACCAACCGACAGAGAAGAATGAAAATAAAAGAATGTATGGAAAGGAAAAGTAAAAATGTGGAAGAATTATATGAAGGAATACGCAGCTGTGGGAAAAGTTAGCCTAGTAAATTTTAAGAATTTGCTCGGGTGTGAAATTCACCATAGACGCTGTAAAAATATTAATTTTTGCCAGCATCTGCGAAGAAGACCGTACAAATGAGCGTCGCTGCTTTTGGTTTGTGAGCACCAGGGCCGTCAGCAGGCCGTCGTAATCGTCGATCCACCGCCTCATCACCAGCTGTTCGCAGCTATTCCGTTTTGCATTACATAAGTATTTATTTGCTTGTTCGTGTATTCACTAGTAGCGTTGATAACAAACATTAATGAGGGTATGATGGTAATAATCTCACTTCAATACACAACAGTTACAAATTTGTTGCAGTTATTCTTTTATTCGTGCTCATTCGGCATGTTGCTTGTTATTTCTATTAGTCTGGCAAATATCCCAACAAACACAATAGTTAGTCACCGACTAGAGAATGATAAGATAAATAAGCTTTTGCTTCAACCTCTAACGTAAGCGGGAGACTCGAGAAATAATAAAAAAGCGTCGCGTCGCCAAATAAAAAATGCATAATTTTTCAAAGGCGGATTGTATGATTTCTTTTATTTCTATGAGCAGTTTTTCATCTGAGATTTAATTTTATGAGTTTAAGAAGTACACATTTAAAACAATTTTAGTAATCAATGCCATTTGAAAGGTTTTGGTCGCAGACAAGTAAGGTTATCAAAATTGGTAGTAAGATATATCCTCTCTAGCAACACCATTTTGTAAAGTTGGTTCTACTTTTAAATTATATAAAGGCAAGCTGTTTATTTGTGATATCATACGTTTGAATTTATTAAAATGCGGTTTCTCTTATTTTTTTAGTACCGCCTCTTGCTTGTTTATTTCTATAATTTTCAGCATAGAATTTTCATAGCCTCTCACTCATAAAGTGGTCGCTGCGCTTGTCTAGTAGCTTCATTGTTATCCGCAGAGCGAGTGTTTAGTCAGTATGCGTTCCACAGCTTCACACTGCGGTGGGTCAATTGTTCGCCGCTTTCAATCGCAGACTGTTCCAGCTGCCGCCGTGGCCGCCTTAACGACTGCCTTATTAGCATTGTCAACACAATTGTCCTCTTCAATGTTTCGTCTTTGTGCTTATGCTCCTGCATTGCATATACTTGTACTCTCACCTTCGTCCATTCGCGCGACGGTCTGATTTCAATGCGCTCCTTCGCTGTCGCCTCGATCTTCGTTCTGTCGTTCTTTCGCGCTCCGCTATTGTTTGCGTCTTTAAGTGGTTTTTTATCATTTCACCGCTGACACAATTTATATCCTTTGCTCATATTTCTTCTGCTTATCACGCCGAGGATGTCGTTACTTGTGTGCATTAATATCCACACACATTCAGTGTGTATGTGTGTGCGCGGGCATTTCAGTCTGCGAAGAAGTTGCGTTTGCGTTTCGAAGTGATTGCCGGTGTCGCCATTTTCATACTTTTTGTGAATTTTTCGTTTCGTAATTTTTAGTCTTTTGCGAGCATTTCAGCCACCGCATCTGCTTTGTTATGTATGCTCTTTAAATACGTCAACGCTTTTAATGCTTTTCTCTTTCCCGCCGGGTTTCCTTTCGTTTTGTTTTGTTTGTTTTTATGTTTTTTTGAAAGAATCACATATTGTCTTTCCACTCTTTGGGGATTTTCTCAGCAGTTACTATACTTTTAATGGCGTTTTCTGCACTGCTCTGTCCTTTGTGATCAAGGAAGTGGAAGTTAAGTTGCATTTAAGTGATAAATTTATACAATTATCCGGGTATTCTGCATCACTCTGCGACGATATGTACGCGTACTGGTAAGCAGTCATTTGTAAGGCGCTGTACGTTTATGATGATTGCAAGATAAATGCGTCGCGACAACTTTAAATGGCTTCATAGCGACCGTCGGTAGATTTCGTAAATTGGCCGTTAAGGCAAACGAAATCTTCTATCTTTGCTGTGCCTTAGTATTCAATTTAATGTTAAATTTGAGAAGATATTGATAAGTATAGATGCATATTCTGTTAACATTTCCTTTTCTCCCAAGGAAATTCCACACTTATTTCGAAATATTATTTCTCAAAAACACATATGGAATTTTTTCAATCGAAATCCCGTTGACTAAACTCGATTTAAAATACCAAACTCTTTCAATACCATTGATATATTCTCAAAAGCGTGTGAGCTCCTTGATAATCCAATTTAAAATATTAAAATAATCAATGAGTGCACGGCGGGGCGTATACGTAACCACCGCAAACATCAAAAGTTCAAACTTAATGCGCGAAATGGCCCATAAAAGCATAAGCAAATTACTTTACATTTAAAATAGTAAAGACATTTTGCTTTGTAAAGGCGAAACGGTCACGGCAAAACGAATAACGTTTGTGGGCAATTGAATATATTTAGAAAAGTTTTTAAAGTTTCAAATTTCCTTCGGGTATTCATGCGTATTGCACCCAGGCGTACAATAGAGTAGGCAAGAAACTTTAAAAGCCGAGCACATGTATATAAGCACGTACGTATGTGTGGATAAAAGCATTTGAGGTAAATAGAGAAGGACAACATATAGTGGAGAATAGCGAACGGCGAGCAGAACCGAGTGAAAATTATACTGGAACTGACACAACGTTTCTGTTTAGAATTCGCTTAAGAATAACTGTACATATTTGCTAAGTTAATACAAACATGTAAGTTTACATATATAAAAACACTTTGCACGCCACTCCTTCCTTTTCTTGAACGAATGTCCCAGTGGAAACTTCACATAAAAGCGGAAAAAATCAAAAAAAAAAAAAAACAAGTAACAACTACAACACAAGCAATACAAGTATGTGTTATTTTTTTATTTTTTATTTTCGCTTCCTTGGCGACTTTCTTTTGTGCGCCCTTTCTATGTACCGTTAAGTGTTTGCTTGTGTGTGTTCTCGCCTTGAAGCATATTCTTTGTTTATTCAGTTTTCAAACAATTAGTTGAGTTTTATTTATTTTGCGTTAATTGGAAGTGCTTTATCTTGCGCTTGAATGCATGAGTTGAATTTCGCATAACTTTCCAAAGCACAAACAACATTTGGAGTGTGGAAATTTAATGGCGAAAAAGGATTTGACGGCAAAGTTTATAAGCGCTGAAAAATATAATAAAATAACCAAAAAATTAAAACGATATTTGGCCTCTGGAAAATATAAAGAACTTAACACTTTAAGACGAAATCTCAGCGAAAATGAGGAAAATTTAATTTTCAGCTTTAAGCGAAT